CTACAAATGTTGTAGCATCTGTATGTTGCTGTTTTTACTGCAGTCGTTGTGCAGGTCATTAATCTGATCTCACGTCGTAAAAATTTCTCCACCCTCTTTATGAGTTTCTTTGTTATCATAACACTTTCCAATACCTTGGCGTCTAGCTCCTCTATACTCCATTATAATTACCCAGGGTAGAACAATGCTTTTTTATACTTGTCATGTATTTTATACATGTCCCACTCCTTCAGTGGAGCTGCTGAGTGCCATGTTTGCCACATTGCTGCTGTGGGCTGAGCATCCAGGAGCATGGCTAAGCTCTGCAGAGCTGCTCCCAGAGGCTGGGAGACATTTGGCCAGCAGATCCTCCATGCTCTGGGCTGTGTGTGGAAGCTTGGCAGTGCAAAGCTGCAGCCTCATCCTCTTCCTACTGCTCACTTGCAGATGGAAAGGGGTTGGGTGACAGCCATGATGTGGTGGCGGTGGTGGTGGAAGTGGGAGCAGACCAAGGAGGGAGCAAGCTGTATTACAGAGCATACAGACAAGCAAGGACAAGGGCCCTTTGTGTGCATGTCAGGAGAACCCACTTGCATGGATGCCAGATGCCCACCAGTTCCCCTACAGCTCCCAGAACTTGCAGCTTATTTCTGATGGCTGTGTGTGCAGTGAGCAGAGGTGAGACCAGTTTCCATAGAAACACAGGGGAAAGATGAGGCAGCACATCGGAGGTGAATGCTGTCTGATGGAGCATTTTGGAGCTCTATCAAAGACACTGGTCCTGCTAGGCTGTATCCCATTCTGCATGGGGCCATGCATGCTGAAGGCCACAGCGAGACCCAAAATGCACTATGCCTGTGATGAGGCACAGGTCTGCTTCTTGCAGGTCCTGGGAGCAGAGCTGGGAGAGTGGTGCCTGCATGGAGCCCCTCGCAATCCTATTCTGGCCATCCTCCATTGTAAAGTGGAGAGAAAGCAGCATTTGACGCTCCTACAACTGGTACGTCTCTTTCATCTCTTCCATCACTGCCAAAAAGCTCTGCACAAAGCTTGATCTGATGCTGTGTAAAAAAGAGAAACTGCAAAGGGGAGTGTTGAGCAACCTCAGCTGTCACAGAATCACAGAATCAAAAAGGATGGAAAAGACCTTCAAGAGCATGTAGTCCAACCATCAACCTGATCTACTGAGTCACATCCCTAAGCCATGTCCCTTAGTGCCATGGCTGCACATCTCTTAAGTACCTCCAGAGATTAGGGCTCCCTCTCTTCCCTGCGTAGCCCATTCCAGTGCTTGAACACTCTCTTTTTGAAGAAATTCCTCTCACACCACTTCAGACTGTCCTGGTTAAGGCAAGGTGGTGGCAGCTCTGCCCGGGGTGCAGGGCCAGACTATACCAGGCAGTAATGAGACAGTGCAGGGCTGCAGCCTCTGCCTGAACAGTCCTGTCTGCCTTGTGCCCAATGCTCCCTACAGTGGCAGGTGAACTCCTTCAGGCTGCCTCAGAGTGGGACTAAAATTTGTCACACGTGTTCTGTCACCTGCTGAGATTTTGTTGTGCCTGTGGCAGCTGTGCTTTTGTATGTTACGTGTGTATGTGTCCTTCCAGTAGGATGGGAGCTCACTGAGCCTTACTGGAAAATCAGCAGTCTTTGGGAACATACCTGATCACAGGTCCCCAGAGGTGTCTAGGAAGGAGGAGCTCACGGGACATGAGCATGATCAGAGCCTGGTGCTTTCACAGCGTATGGCCTGCAGTGATGCTCTCTGCCACACATCAGACAAACATCACTAGCTTTTCACAGCTGCCAGTGGGGCTTGCCTTCTGCTGTGCCAATGCACTGCCAAAGAGCCATGACAAGCAGGGAGCCAGAGCTATGGCCGCCTCTGAGGAAAGGACTGGAGGCTTCAAGCAGGGAAGTGTTTTCCAAGGAAGGGACGTGGTTCTCGTCTCCAAGGTATGTTTTGGTTTCCAGTTCTTCAGGGCAGCAATGCCAATGGGGCCAGGCCCTTCAGCCAGGCAGCGCCATGGAGCAGCTTTGCTCTACGAATGGGCTCACTGACGTGGTGCATTTGCACAGGGGTCGGCACCCAGCCCATTGCAGTCTACTTTCACAGCTCTATTGTCTCAATTTTGGTCGAACTACACCTTTTTCCAAGAATCCCACTAAGCTCATGTTTTTCAAGCAGTAAGCCATGGCAAGGATGAGGCCTGCTAAGCCAACAGCGCTTTCTCTTGCCAAAACTGTGGCATTTAGCAGTGTAATACACACAGGCTTCATTGTCTGTAACAGCAACTTGAAAGTGAAATGCATGGTAGGTAATGTCTGTGAAAGACAGGTACTAGGCTGCCTGAAAACTTGTGTAAGAGCACTGTTAATGGTAAGTAGGGCCTGTTTCGACCAAGGCACAACTGAACACAAAGCAAATGCTGCTGCAGTCCTATGGAGCGTGAGAACAAAAGCAAAGACCACATTCAAGGTTTGTCATGGGTTTGTGACTAGATAGGTTGGAAAAAGACCTGTTACTCTTCTCAGCTTCCTCCACACTTATCAAGGCTGGTGTGAGCACTTCCAGCTCTCGGCACAGTGAAGAATGAGATGTCTTAATAGTGGCTGAATTTAGCTTCAGCCTGAAGACCAGCTGCATGAACATGAACTGAAGTAAAACTTCAACCAAATGGGGGGGTGGGAGGGTGTCTCTCCCTTCAGATGGGGCATTCTATGCCCAGGGAAAAGGTAATTTTCCTTACTTTTTGTACCCCCAAGTAGGGAATGGTTAGATGAACTCAGACATCTGGCCAGCCACAGGGATTCATAAAGACTAAGGAAAAGACAGCAGTCAGTGGCTAGGAAGGAAGCTGCCTTCTTTGATTTTGGGTGGACTTGAGGCAAAGCTGTCAATCTGCACTGCAGAAGGTGACAGATGCTTGCGCTCTTCTCTGCAGGCAGGAAGAATAGAAATACAGCTTCTTCACTCCCTCTACTCCGAAAGCAATTCTCCTGAGCTTTAAGGCATAGTTCTGAGGTGACTGCTTTGGTGGGTAGAGAGCAGAACTGAATGGTATGCCTGAAGGGGCCAAGATATTGGACCAGGTCAGAGACATTTCCCTGGGTTTGTGGACCAGGCAAAGACTTGTCAAGGAGCTCCTGGAACACAGATCGTTCCATCATTTGTCAGAGGGGCTGCGCAGGCTGCATCACAGACACTGACTCCTTCAGACTCATGGCCAGGGCTCCAGCCAAGGGCTCGTCTTGTAAGTGATCACTATAATCTCAACACTATTTAAAATTTGTGGTCAGAGGCAAAAAGTTAGCATTTTAGACCTCCTTAGGCTGTGACAGAGGCACTTTGGCAGATCTAGTCAAAAACACTCAGATATCCTCCTCGTCCTTCTGCTACAAGTTTCTGCCTCAGTAGCAGAGAACATAGAGCAGGGGTTGTTCTATTCCAGACACTATTTTGGCATCTGAGCTCAAACCCAAGTACAGGAGCCCTTATAGCTTTACACTGAAAAAGCCTGGTGAAAGTGTGGATATCCTTCAGGGAATGGACAGAAGGAAACACTGATCAGCAACTCTGTTCTGTGGTGAATCAAAGTCCTACCTTCAAATCCCTCTAAAGCTCTGTCAGAAATGCTGATCTCCACAGCCATGTATTGTTGTGCTCTATATTCTGCTCTTATGGAATTGGCTTTGAAGAGCTGCAAGCCCTGAGTGGAAGTGTTTCAGTGGAAACACTTGCATAAGAGCTGGGAACACATCCTGTTTAAGGGATTAAAATGATACACATTCATCCCCTTCAAAGAATGACTATAGCCCAGACGTTAGCTTAGATCACAATTTTAATGTTCAAAAACTATAGAGGTAACAGAGAGATTACAGAACATAATACATTTTTTTTTTTTTTTAGTTTATTTACACACTGAAACTGAAAACTGCATCATTTATTTGAACATGAAGAGCACAAAGTATGATGATGATAGCAGGAGCGAAATGTTACCAATCACTCACTTGAACAATCTATTAGAGATGAGCTCATATTGAATGTACATCACTCAAACAGTATTGTTAACACTGGGTTTGGGTGAGCCTTAGCGTACCTTGGGATGCTATAAACAGATTTCTATAAACAAGTTTCAAGTCTTGTGGAAATATACCTTTACAGTTTGTATTTTGTTGGCTGTAACAGTGAAAACAAAACGTACTATTAATTTGAAAAGCTCCATAGAAGTGACTGCATGTAATTTTTTCCTCAAATTTGTGCTCACGGTGAAAGCAAATGCTATTTCAAGTTTCATTTTCATCCAAGATAATAAACTAAACATGGAAAGAATACAATTATTTTTAGACGCACGTCTCAAGCTCTGCTTTCCATCAATCCTGAAAAACACATTTCCATGTTTTACTAGAGAGACTCTATGCCTGCAGCACCAAGGCTGCGCTCCTGTGGAGGCACTCTCAGGACTCACACAACTGTGGTTCCCTTCCACTCCCTGCACCCCAGACACGCAGCCATCCCCTGAACAAAATGCTGGTGTCCGCTTCATCATACATACAAAGCCATCCCTGTGCAGCTGATATCTCCCAGCACAGGAGGTGCTAGTGTAGTGGTTACAGATAGCAGATGCCTGAGGCTGTGGTGGGGAGCTGCAGGGCACAGGCTAAAACTGCACCAGTTGCTGTGATTGTCACCTACCCTGGTATGTGATACTTCATGTCTCAACTACGTTTTTGCTGGCTGAAAAGGAAGTGCACAAGTCCTTGCCTGACTTCTATCTGTACTAGCTGCCTTCCACGGAATATAGATACCTATGCCTGAAAACCAAAGTGACACAATGTTAGGGCAGGTTGCAGGCTGCAGCTTACTCTGCTTTCTGCATAAGGCTGTGTCAGCGTGCTGCTGCCACCTGACCTCAGCTCAGGAACTGTGGACACTAAATGTGCCCTCTGTGCTAGGAAAGACTTGCTATGGAGAAACCAGGGAGATGTGCTGCAATTAGGCCTAGCAATTTCATTGGACCTTTTCTGTTTTTGCTTTTTTTTTTTTTTTTTTTTTTTTGGTTTGCTGTTTTTACATTAGCAATGTAATTATAATTTCAAGTTCAGGATTTAAATTGCCAACTCTTGGAAGAAAGGAAAAGATATAGATTTTGCTAAGTCTGAAGCTAAAGCACTTGTATTTCTATTAAAATTATTCTTAATATGCAGAGCCTATCTCAACACTTATATATCATAGGGGATAAACAACTGCAAAAATATACAGCATCCTATTTATTTACAATATATATATGTACATAAAAATGAAATTTCCTACAGTAAAACACAACTGCATAGATTTGTCTTCAGAAACACAGGCATGTGTACAATTTGTGAATTCTAGACCTTTCCAGCCCTGTACTTTTTAATAATCCATTATCTTTTCTTTTTTTTTTTTTTTCACAGTTTGTTACAGAAATCCTTACATTAGATACAAATAAAACATTCTTTGTGTACCTTATAGGAAATAAGGACTTTCCTGATGCCAAGCTGTTTAAGCGAGCAGCCTGGTACCAGGAGATAAAGCCATCTCACGGAACTGCTGATGGACCTGAATACATTCTGCTGTGCCTCTCTCCTAAAGGCACCGGGGTGAGACATTAGGACTGGAGGTGGGATAACACCACATGGAAAGAGTTTTGTTTTGACCAAGATGCTCTTTAGCCTTAATGTAAGGTTCAAGCAAAGAAACGTATTAAATTAATGACGAGCTAGAGATACCACTGCTTGCAATTGTTAATACTCAGAATCAGAGAGACCTGTGGTGCTTCTGCCTTGTAAGGCAGATGTACAGACAAAACCCATGTAACATCAGAACTGCATTTGCACAAATGCCTTGTTCCAAGGGGAGCATAAGCTATGGATCTGTATGCAGCTCAGGACAACAGCCTTCAAGGATGGGTGGGTGTCCCTGCCCTCACAGGATGGGGCTGGCCCTTCCCCCTCCAGCTCCACACAGGGGTTGGGCATTGCTCGGGTCTGTGTGAGCCCTACTAAAGACCTGTGCTGGTGCACAGATTTGGCACTGGCTCTCTGACCAGGAGCAAGCATTACCCAGAGAAATCTCAACTTTCAACACACTGTTCTCCAATAACAACCCACTGTGTTTTACTTATTAGGCATGTTTGCTGCCAGCCAGAGAAAAGTAGCTGCATTCTGCAACTGAAAGGGTGGTTTAAGCTCAAAACTAATTTCTTTGCAATGTGCTGTGGATTAGGAGAGGCAGCAAGTCTGTCTTTTCAGTGTAGGATTAGCTCCTGCGATCTTACTAGAAGCCCCTGCTCCTAATTACTCCTTCCTTGTCTCTCACCACTCAGCTGTTGTTATTAAGCAAAAGAGAAGTTTAAAGTATTTTGTTGCACTTACTAGGAGCAATTTTTCATCCAGTCTATGAAATTTGCAGTGCTCACGATAGTGATAAACTCTCTATGAAAAGAAAGCATGCTACCACCTACTAAGCAGATAGGGTACTCTGGATCCTATTAATTTAACAACAGAGAAACTCCTACAGCATTTCACTGTGCTCTTTAAATCCTAGCTAAAATGTGGGACTCGTACATTGTTGGCTACAAGTTCACTATTCCAAATGAACTGAATAACAGCAGTACATTTTACAGATAACCTCATACAAATATTGTCATCCATCACTGATGTTGACAGTTACAGCAGGGTCTATTGCATTCTGTTAAGAATGTATAAACCTGATGAGAAAACAAAAAGCACGTTATTTCACGTTCATTACCACAGACATCAATAAACACATGATTCCTTTCCATAAATATCTATAAATATGATGCCAGTAATCAGCCTAAGCAAAATTCCCTCTTTTTTTTTTTTTTTTCCACAGACCCAGAAATAAAGCCTACTTGAAGACTCAATATTTCAGGTATCTGTCTTTCAGTATCTAAAATATGCTTTGATGGTACTGTACCTTGGGTAATTTCCCTCTGTGCACACACCCAGATCATTCTTCTCCCTATTTATCCAGTAAAACTTCAGTATACAAATAAACCAGGAAAAGGAAGAAGGCTGAAGAACAAAGAGGGGGGAGAGGGATTGTCATGGAGGAGACTCAGGAAGATGCAAGAAGCAATCAGTCATCCAACAGCTCTTCAAGTCGAAGTGTAGTACACAAGATTACATAATATGGGGAAGGGACAGAAGGGAAAACATAGTTGTGACCTTGCTGGGACTCTGTGCAGCAGATCAGACCTCTAGATCCTATCTGGGTGTTTGAAAATCACTCCAGGATCTCCTCTTTCACAGCCCCTCAGTGCACAGAATATCACTGCTCATAGATCAGTAGTAGAAGGATAAAGGGGGAATGAAAGCAGAAGGGCCTCGGAGCATAATGAGGATAACACTATACAGTATTCTCAGGTCTGAGTTAGGTTTATTGGGATGAAATCTAGAGAGATTATAAGATGCCTTGAATCCTGACACGTGATTACAGCAAGCTAACAATAGCATGATCAAATGGTTTGGGCTGGAAGGGATCTTTAAAGATGATCTGGTCCAACCCCACTGACATGGGCAGGGATATCTTCTACTATAGGCCAGGTTGCTCAAAGCCCCATCCAGCCTGATCTTGAACAAAGCCAGGGATGGAGCATCCACAACTTCTCTGAGTAACTCGTTCCAGTGCCTCACCATTCTCATCATGAAGAACTTCCTTCCAATCTAATTCTGACCTTTTCTAGTTTTAAACCACTGCCCCATGTCCTGTCTCTACAAGCCACAGTAACATGTCTTTCTGATTCAAAGTTTAAAACCATCCTCCTGCTGTGGCTGCCTTTGTGGGTGCCTGTAAAAGGGATGCCACAAATGACATCTCAAGCTGGAAGACACAAGGAACAAGCTGAGAGGAGATAGCAAGCACAGATTCTTCTCTCTAGACTTTCACTAGGACCTGGACTTGTAGTCTACAGTGAATGAGGGCCCACCTGATGAAAGTGGTCCCTGATGAAGAGGGGACTTCCAGTTTTCTTCCTGCTGTCAGGCTGCTCCAAGGACCTCTCCACACATTAATGCCTAAAGTCCAAGTAAGGCCCCAAACTAACCTCTCTGTATGTTACCCTTAGAAACCAACTCTCAAGGTCCTGAGACCCTCTGTGGTCTCAACTCAGTGCCTTCAAGCCATGTAGGACAAAGTGGGGGAACTGAGGTAATTCAGTAGCTCACAGAAATCCCAACACCCTGAATTCTCCATCCCTAACCTTAGAAACAACAAGCTGTAATGACAGTTTATTCACAGGCAGTGCTGTTAACTACAGGCTCCTCCCACAGCTACAGTGGGAGCCAGAGGGTCGCCGCGCACTGACATCTCAAATACAAATTACTTAGGGCATTACTTAGCCCTTGGATGTGACCTAGGGCTCCCTCAGCCTTCAAGTTTTTTTCAGGAGCCAGTTTCATCTTATGAGAGCAAAACTCAGACACATTTTTAGCTCACAGGATGAATGATACGAAGTGAACACAATTATGCTGCTGGCAGTGCACTGAGTCTGCTGAGTATGGTCAACTATCACCTGCTTAGCATTTGAATCTCTACAAGTAGTTCTCTACACCAGCTATAAGGCATTAGGCAAATACTCTGTGGACAACAGATACAAGTTACAGTGTTTCTGCTAGTAGTAATTTAATGTCTTTTCCATAACTGTTATAAAGAATTGATGTGAAATGTAAATAAAACATTTCAATAACGCAAAGTGTTTATGTTATTTGAAAGAAATATTACAGACTTCAAATTCCATTAGAAATCTGGTGGGTGAAATCTTCAGTAGGGTAAGATCCTGCTCCAAATGCAGTCAGAAACCCTGCTGACTTCAGCAGGAGGGGGGTGAAACACGAGAGGACCAAATCTCTACAGGGTCACCCTAGGTGTGTACAGATGAATCCAAGAATGCAAAAGGCATGAGGTATAATTAAATGTGCAGGTTTTGATAAAAATGGAGACTGCCATTGTTTTCTGAGAAGAGCAGGGCATTAGTGAACAGTTTGATGCAGAAACTTCCTATGGAAATCTCTGAGCATCTGCTTCTCTTCAGGTTCAGGTACTCATTGCAGATGCTCATTGCTGAGCATCCTGGCTGTTGGTGGCCAGGCGCAAACTGAAAGATAGCAGGGAAATGGTGGCTGATGATGATCATCCTACTCCAGCTCCTTGTACCCCTTTGCAAACACAAACACACACACACACACACGCCTGCTTCTCAAAGCAACAAACGAGCCAAGCCTAAGGCTGGCTCCTCCACTGCAACATTACAGGAGAAGCACCAGATTTAGGACCTAAGTTTATACAGCGCTCATTTATGCTCTGGTGGTGCTTTTTGTATCCATATCCAGAATGCTACACTTAGTTGGTGAGGCAAATGGTGTACAAAACAGCAACAGAACAAACAAACAAACAAACAATGCATACAATTCGAGAGCAGTTTTTGTTAAAACGCAATGGGAAAGGGAGTGTACTGATGACATTTGGGATAATCACTCCAGCTGGAATTGATAACACATGTTGCTGCTCTAAAGGAGCAGAGCTCATGGTTCAAGGGCTAAGAATAATAACAGAACAATGCAGTTCATGGGTGGAAGTGGAAAAACAAATTGTGATGAATTCCTATGAGCAATACTCTATATAGTCTTGCAGACAATACAGAATTTATGCTGATCTGATAACTCAGTATTGTGGGACAGAACGATATGCCTGTTGGGATAACGGGTCTGTTTTCTGCAAGAAAATACACCCAAAACAGCATATTCAGTACTGGAAAATCATTATTTGGATTTGATTTGAGTTAACTCACAAAAGGTAGAATAGATAACAGAATGGATGGTTGCGATTTTGGTGTGTAGCAAACAGGCATGTCTCCTTTCCAGAAGGTCAACTTCAGTTGCTGCCTTCAGTACTACCTCCTGACTGTACCCAGTCGTAGATGACCAATGGGATGCTCACTAGGGAAAACATTATTCCCAGTGCCAAGAAAAGGGAAGCCTGAAACAAAAAGAAAAGTAATGAACAAAATAAAAGACAATTAATTCAATTGTGTTAACTTTTCTTCTTAAGGTGATTTACAAAGTGATGTATCAAAACCATGAGCTAAAATGGGATATGTCTTCTGGTGAAGACAAGACCCATAGATAATTAAGCAGATTACTGTCATTAATAATTACGTGCTGAACATCAAAAACAATTTTTCCCCTTTCAGTTCACTTGTTAGATGCCAACCATCCCTAAAAAGGATTAAACGAGTCTGCCTTTAGGACTTATCAGCTCCATTCTCCTCAAAGCCTGGATGTGGAACGTGCTGTATGCCTTCTGATTCAGCATACTGAAAGGACACCCACATTTTGGTTAAAACTGTGGCTGCTTGCAGAGCTTCTGCTCCCCCAGAAGGAAGAGTTCCTCACTTCACAGAGAAGAGCCCTGGTGCAAAGGGAGCCCAGCACCAGGAGACACACAGAGCAAATGAAAAGGCTGCTAGCTAATGGAGGCAAGAATGGAAAGTCAGGAGAAGCAGCTTACACACATTCAGATTAAGCAGACTTTCTATCTAACTCATTTTAGGGAATGACATGCAAAATGCTTTGCATAGACCAGAAAGGAATGCATACCCAAATCCTCTGAGTAAATTTTCCTCCATCCTGATGTGTAATTTTTAAATACAATGATGAAGGAAGAATGAAAATCAGCATATTGGCAGAAGTGACCCCTGCAAAATTCAAATGAATGAGTATTATTAGTTGCCAACACCATAATTATTATGTTGCTAATTAGCAACAGTTTTTTACTGGCAGTACGAAGACAGGATACTGTACCTACGACTCCAAAAATATCCTTCATGGTTGGGATAAAAATGACTAAGAGGTTGATGATAACCAAAAGAACAAAAGTAACCAAAACATGACGGCATAAGTCAAACTTTGTTTTTCTTGCCAGCTCAAATAATGACGAACGCACCTGTAGGAAAAGAGAGTTCTCTGTTAGGAGCAGTCCATCAGCCAGTTCAAGGCTCCCCATGATTATTTTATCCAGTTCTTCATGTGACAACAAGCTGTACATGAATCTGGCAGAAAATTTATGCACTCAGATGTACTGCCTTTAGAAATAATCCCTGCAATTATTCTGGTGTTTCAAAAATGTATGTGTAGATGCATCTGAGGGATATTCTTCCCTTTCTACCATGCCTTTTGGGATAATGAACTTCACCTCTCAGCCTGCTCCAGTGAAATCATGCGAAGGAAGAGAGGGCCCTTGTGGATTCAAATTACAGCTACAAGTGATTCATTTATTTCCTGCAGGGAAAAGCTCTCCAGAAGCCACTGGGAATCCGGTGTGGGAAAAGACTGATCCAAGCTCAAGTTGTTTTGTAGCTGCAACATTAGTGACTAGCAAATGGTTGGACTGTACTGAAAAAATCCAACGTGCGCAGAGATCACTTGCTTCCAAATCATGTGGAGTCTTTTACTTACAGTGAAAAACAGCACTGGCACTGTGAGTATAACTGCAACAATCACAGCCAAGCGCACCGTCAGGATGAGGATGTCATCTTTACTCTGGTACTTGTGAAGCAGATCTGACTGCACATTTTCTATGGAAAAGACAATTAGGTAAGAGTACTGGCAAGGAGGCAATTAGTTTACAAAAATCACTGCTTAACAACAGACTTCTTGAACAACAAGTGATTTATCTGCAAACAAGAGTATGGAATGAACATTCTTGAGTTAAAACAGCATTTTGAACCAAATCTTAATGATCTCATTATTCCAGATTAATCCTTTGGAGGACTGATTAAGGAATGCATCCTAATTCAAGACAGCACATGCTTAAGTCTAAGGTGATTTTCACTGTAGGAAAGACAACAGTGAGACATACACCAAAACTTTCTTAAATATATGCATATATATGAAAAATGATTAAAGTAAAATAAGCTACTTCTAGTCAGTTCTGTGGACTTGTTTTTAAAGTTTTAAAGTTTGAAATGATATGCACTGCAATGGCTGAGTTAAATATACATTACAGAGTTGAGATCAATTAATCAAAACAGCCAATAAACTCCCAGTACAAAGCAGTGCCTCTGTTTCCAAACAAGAACAAAACCTGTCTGAGGTCAGCTCCCTGTGGGATGTTTTGACATCTGCACTCACACCCCTGGGCAGCTCCACAGAGGGCTGCCCTTCTGAATTTTCTCTTAAACCTGCTGCCCCTTACAGTGCCCACAGCATAGCCAGTGCGTTCTGCGCAACCAGCGTGCCCAAGGGAGCACGCTGTGCTGCTAGCGGGAAGGCAGTGGCCATGCTTTAAAAAGCCCTCCTGCAAAAATGCTCCCTTTGCACTCCGTTTAAATACTGATAATGGGCAGGGAAAGCAAGTTGCTGGGGGACCTACGTGCTTGCTTTGTGTCTTTCTAGTATTTAGGCACGGCAACTCAGGGAGGCGGCTGTGAAACACACCACAGAACCACACTCGCTGCCCTGTTTTAGAACAGCTTGTATTTTGTTTCTGTCTGCTAATCTTAGAAGGCTGACAGTAAACTCGTAAACCGCTCTTAAACCGAAGTCCTTAAGCGGAACTCGGTGGGCATGTGTAGATCAAAATCTTGGTACAACCTCCTCTATTCTTGAAGGCAGAGAGCCGCCCTGCAGCGAAACTCCTGTGCTCCCCCCGGGGCATCCTCCTGGGGCAAGACCACCTCTCAACACCTCTCCGCAGCGCCTGAATTCCAATCAGGAGAAAAAAAACACTCTCCCACCTCCCTGCAGGTTAGGAGTGGGATTTTCAAGCCGGGCACATGCACAGCTTCTGCGACACAGAGCTTACTCTGCTCCTGCGAGCACAGACTGCAACTTCTGTACCGCTCACGGGCTGCAGCCGGGTAGGAAGTGAAAGGCAAGGCTTACAGTTGAAGGTCTGTTTTCCTTTCAGCTAGATACACCACAGAGCCCAACCACAGTGACCTTTTAGGGGAAGAAAAACACCTCTTTTCTGTAATTCTGCAATGTAAATATAGTCATAACTGCAATACTTTCGAGAACACAGCAAACAGACAAGCACTACTGGTGTAAAAATGAAATGGACAAAATAAAAACCCTGGTCTTACCCAGCTAGGGAAGAGGTTAGAAAACTAAGTGCACATACATAAGGCAAAATCTTAGTCCCAGGGGCAAGTAGGAGTGGAGTGGAGGGGGTCAATATTCCCTAGGCTCCTCTCTGCGTTGTTTCTTGTGGCACTAACCCTGAGATCGCCAGTGTTTGTATGAGCCCCAGTGGAGCTGTGTGGAAGCACATGGTGTCCATGTGCAGGGACGCCTGCTCCATGAGGGAAATTCCTCTTCCTCCCAAGGGTCAGGAGGATGCAGCCTCTGCCTCCTCCATGGGGTGTGAGAGGTTCCCAGGTCCCTACGGGTATCTGCCTCCTTACATCCCTGGGGTGACCTCACCAAAATTTCCTTCCTGCCAAGACAAAGTGTCCGTGGGAGTGGGTCCATGCTGATTCACTCCCACTGCCCTCCCGGGGCTACTGATCTGATGTGTTTCTGTAAGTGTTCTAGCAAGCAGCAGACAGATGAGAACAGCTGCTGCTGCTGTCACTTGTAGCAGATACTCTCTCACTTCCATCAGTTTTATTGGGAAAATCACAACTGAGGACCTCAAATTACTTCAAGACAAGAAGGCTCAAGGCGTTATAAGCCTGAAAAAATCGAGATAGGTACACCTTTGGAAAAAAAAAAAGCCAAATTTCATATTTACTTATTTTCTTTCTCTTGCAGTATGTGGCTCACAATGAATGGTGTCACAAATGGGGAGACTGTAACAAAAAGGTCACTTGGGATATAGAATATACAGTGAAGAAGACTGATGACCTTTAGCTGACTCTGAGATAAAAGACAAATGTCAATTGAGTCATCTGTCTCATAACCCCTTAACGGCCTATGAGCAAACACACTGCGCTTCAACTTTTCCACTATACTGGGAAATGGGAGTAGCTTCCTGGGCCACATTCATTTTTTATCCTATTTACTTAATAATTATATCTGTTCCTTTAGGACAGCATACAACACGGTTTGTTTGTTTCGCTAACTTAACCAATATTTTAGAAGAGACGCAGTGCAAGTCCCAGACACTGCAATAGCCACGCTTGGCTGCTGAGCTGGGACAACCCTCTGAGCTTCTTCACCCTTTGCAGTCAATTTACGTAACCAAAAACTGAAGGGGTGAACCCCAGGGACACAAGGAAAATACGTGGTGTTTTGTCTACGATTAAAACGTTAAATAAGAAAGCAAAAAATCCTGCTGCATTTGATATCCTGACTTATTTGATATCCAGTTCCTAGGACCTGTTTTCAAACCTTCCTCATTTTATACAGTCACACATCAGTTATTACCAATGCATACAAAAAGAAAACAACCCAGGTAAGGACCATGGAACAAAAGTCTTGGTAGGGCCCAGCTAATCCCCAGTTCCGCTAAATAAATCTTCCTCATACTTTGAATATGCCTTCTGTAAACACTATTTTCACTTGTGTTTCTCATCTCAGGGGAAGAAAGGAAAGGGTTTATACCTTCAGTATGAAAACCCTAAGGAAAATTTTTTGAAAAAGTATTTTAATGTAAGTGAATGGGACTTTCCAGTTGGGATTCACTATCGATTTCATGTGTATTCTCTGTCTGCATACTTACCATAGAAAGTCAAATAGCCAAATATGGCAGTCATAAAGTACATCACAAACATGGCAAAAAATGAGATATTTGAAACCAACTGCATTTTTTTCTGTGAGCGGCTGGAAAAAGAAAAAAAGAAGGCATATAAAATGGTTGGATTGCATTTCTGAATAGCTGTTTAAAAATGTATCAAGTCTTTGCATAAACATATCAATCCTGGAGAGACCCATGAATTCATTTTCATTTAAAACAGGCATTCATTGACAGCTGCACAAGGAAGAGAGAGGTGGGAGAAATTGATCTTGGAGTTTAAGCCCAGCAACGGCTCTGCTCCCAGTCCATACAGAGGGAAGGGAAATTTGAGCGGGCAGGGAGAGCCCTTAAACACATCAGTAATTAAATTAAAAGGGCAAAGTAAAGGGAGAGTAAACATACATGCAGAAAAAAAAAAAGAAAGTTCCAAAAACAACATTCTGAATGTTTGCAGAAAAAAATGTGTATTGCCATGAATAGAAAATAATGGATGCATACACACCACTGCAGATCCGCAAAATAGATCAAGTGTAAATATTTCATTTTTAGATATTTGCTGTGAAATAGTATATATATATATAGAGAGAGAGAGATCTAAATACATGCAGGGATACCCTAAAAAGGGCACAGAGAACCTGATGAACTCAAGTGAAATACAAAGTGCCCAGCTTTGAGCATATCCTGAGGGTCCCCATGAGTTTGGCTGTTCACAACCCTCCCTTTGGTGCCTCCTTCCCACTTCCAGGGCGCAGGGCTCCACACCAGCCCCATGTTGTTCCCTGCCCCAGCCAGGCTGCAGCAGTGCCAAGCTCCAGCTCTGCACAATCCTGCTCAAGACCACAACAAGTCGGCCATTCTGGTGAGAACACAGTAACATAGGCAAGGCTGAAAATCATTTTTGTTTCTGGTACCACACCAGATTTTTAGCTACACTGGAACAAATGCCGTTCCAGTGTATGGCTGAACACACGTCTCCTTCCTATGCAAAATAACAGCAGTCGGCACAACTTGGCTCTCCCCAGGCTGCCATGTACTTCCAGAGAAAACTCCCCATGTATTGCATTATCCTCAGCTTTTCTCCACCCCAACGGCACCTCTGGGAGTCCAGCTTTCCTAGCTGACAGCCACACTCATTGACTTGTTTGCTTTTATTGAAGCACATCTCCTCTGAATGGCAAGAATGACTCAGAGCACCTCTGCACTAACATTTTCCATGCAAAACAGTGAAAACAATTAACAGGAAAAAAAAAAAAGGAGAAAGGCTTACTCTTTAAGTTCGCTGTAAATTGGAAGGACTGATGGGTGGCACACAAATGCAAAAGCGATGGTTGGCAAAGCATACACAGTCTGTTCAGAGAGAATTTCAGACAAAAAGTTAAGAAAAATAAGTATTTTTCCCAGCAGTACGAAGAAATGGTCTGTGTTGAACTACCTCAGCTCCCAGCTATCGGGGCTCTTCAAATGAATGTCAAGAACCCTTTTCAGAGAAGGCAGGAGACCTGTCAGCTGGCACATACTTAACAAAATATGGAGAGCAACACTCTTCCAAGAGGAGGACAACATCTTGGTCTTGGCCACCCAAGCCCAGTCCTGACCTTGTCCTCAGTGCACAGCAGTGGATGCCATGTGGCTGTGGCACTGCTCCCAGGCAGGGGTCTCCCTGCCCAGCTACTGCCACCGCCACCAACACGCTGCCACGTGTAACAGGGATGTACGGTGGATCAATGCTACACTACCCTGCCTTGGAATGGAGAGGGGTGCACACCCATGGTGCTAAGGCTGAAGTCCTGGAGATGAAGCCCATATCCAGACTGTAAGAAAAGAGAAGAGGAATGCAGAACTTACAAATAAATGGATATTTCAAGGTACCAGACAGAGCCCCTTCATTTCCCAGGCCAACAAAAGGGCTAGGAGGACTGTGGAGGGAGCATGCTTTTCCTTGGGGAAAGAGAGAGACCGTTACGTCACTAGGAAGCACAGAGGGCCTCTGCAGGGAGCCTCACCCACTGCTCAACCAAAAATCTGAGCAGGTTTCAGTGGTCAGCATCTGGCCAAGCTTTATAAATGATCTCAGAGCTCAAGCACTTCCATTCTCCCCTAGGAAACTGGTATGAGCTGAGATCACATGAAAAAGGTCCTCCTGGTAAAAGGAGTCGATTCCTACAAGCAGCTCTCCCCACTGCTCAGAGGTTTCCTCATGTTGGCCACATGAAGCCATCCTAGGGTTGCCCAGTGGGGTGGGATTCAGAAAGCACACTGGTTGCTCTCCAGTGGGGCCTTTCCACACCCTGACCTGTGCTGCCTTCTCTGCTTCATTCCCAGTGCACTACTGTTGTGGAAACTCCATCCCTAGAGATACACAAAAGCCTTTTGGACGTGGTCCTGGACACTCTGCTCTGGGTGTCCCTGCTGAAGCAGATGGACCAGAGGTTCCCGCCAGTCTCAAAATGGATCTCCTCTCATGTACCAAAGTTGCTAAAGTGATTGGCAAATTGTTGGCCCTGAGAGCAAATCTCTAAAGCTTAAATACAGTGCGCCTAATTCAGATTGATTGCTCCTTCTGATGGGCATTCATCAGCTCTGAAGTAAACACTAACACGTCAGGAGAACAAGACTGCCCTTTGACACTGGCTGAACTGTACCTACACCTATACTGCTACTGCACACCCAGCTAACTGCTTCTTGGCCAGTCACATTGGATCTGGGCTGATGGCTGCCCCCAGCTGAATGAAAGTGCTCGTGTTAATTCAGGTTGCTTCTTGCACTGAAGCTGGTAAGATGAATTAAAAAAAAAAATAATTTTTTGCATGCATATACTATGCATATGTGTTCTCTATGAATGCAGTGGTGATACCCTGAGGAACGTGCTCTACTGGATAAGGTGCCATTCAAGAGCACTGCAAACCAGCACAGCTGGAAGAAGAAATCCTCTTGCTCCCACAGCTACAGCCAGTTGCTCTTTTGCACTCTCTTGGCACAGCATTTTGTGCAGCTGCGCAGTGATCAAGGAAAGCATCCAGCTGAAAGGCCATCAAATTTTTGCTTTCAACTGTATCCTTTTTCCTCATCTTGTTCACCATATGGCTACAGAAACACATACCCTGTCACAAAGAAGTGGTTTGTGTGCAGGACAGATGGATTACTTCTGGCTTTTGGATGCAGGCATGGTTTACAGTTTCTGCTGAACCACAGCCTAAGCACTCAGTTGCAGAATGGAAAGTAAGAAGCGGTAGAAAGGAAAACTCTCATAAAGAAAGCATTTGTTATCTGGTAGCAGCTCAAGCTCACAGCCTCAGCATGCCTGCCACCAAGGCAGCTCACTCTGTCTCAGTTTCCTGAGGAATGGAGTAGCAGAGCAAGGCTGCAAGGAGCTACAGGCATCACGGCACCTCCAAAACACTGGGCAAGGACACCTGTCATGCATTCACCATCAGTTATGTGTGGAAGCACGGAGGGCAGGCCCTAAGTGCTGCTGAGCTGATTACGACATGGGGTGTAGGTGCATATATTATGTGAATCAAAAATAAGTATCATAAAGAGAAACATACCTTGGAATTAAAGATAACATACTTTGGCTTACACATATGCTCATGTGCTGAGCTATTTGATAGGATAGGTGATGTTGTATTTAGCTCCGGTTCGAGACAGGGAATTTGAAACTTCTTGTAAATAACCTAGAACAAGAGCTAACTGTTAAAAGCAATACTAAAAAGCAAATTAAAATCAAATTCAGAAATTCTGCATATCCTATCAAGTGACTGATCCAACAAACAAAACAAGCTGAACTTACCACTATCAGGAAAAATACCATACAGCTTAATGAAAATCCACTCGTATAGCCAAGATACCCTGAAATTTAAAAAAAAAAAAAAAAAAGTTATACAGAATATTTTTTATTAAACATATATTGCTTCTTAATTATCTACTCAAAGGAACAACTTGAATGTTTTATATATTTAAAATAAACTACAGGCTTCTGGGCAGGACAAAATGATCTTCATTTGGTGCCTTCCGTGTTGTAAGACCCTGAGATTTCAGACAGAGCAGAGTTTTAATCCAATCAGTGTGACTTGTGTCTTCCTTCCTGAAGGTCACTGGATGGCACTTTAACTAATTTTACATTTGTAATAATTGAAATAAACTGGAGGATGTGAAATTGCAATCAGAATGTAACCCAGGTTCCCTGTGATGCAGAAATGTGAGCTTACTACAGGTTAATTTCCCAAAAGGAAATTCCCAACAGGAGCTCAGTGCCAAAATCTGTTACACGGTTTTAAAAAATACATTATGTTCCCACTGGCACCCCTGTGGACTCAAACACATTTGAAAATGTGGTTCTCTAAACACAACTTACATACAAGTTCAGCATTTTCAACTAAGCTAATCACTGAAAAATTCAACACTAACAGAAAGAAGAGTATTTTTTTTGCAATCTTCCTTTATGAACATGTTTTTACGTTACACATCACATAGAGTCACCTTATCGAATAAACACTGTCCTAACTATATATTTAAATCAATTTCCACAATTGCATAGATGACATTGATTTATACTGATTTTGATCACTCCAATGATTTAGGCCTTCTTGTTCCAAGATGCTCAAAACAAAGCATACTCCCAAACCAGGAGCAGACTCTCATAACAAGGACAGCACAATTTTTAACTTTTATTTGACTTGCCAGTGTGTCAGAGGCTCAATGTCTGGGCTCATGTATTTTATTCCTGCAACAGCATTTGCATCTTACCTAAGTTCTTAAGGAGACATAAAGGGAGGATGATACCAAATGTCACTGCAACAACAAGAATCCGCCCATCCACGTACCATGCCCTGTATAAAACATTTAAAAAGTACCATGAACACACCCCAAAACCTTTCTGGCATTCCTCAAACTCTGCTGACCTCTTTGATCGCTGCTGTTACAGAAGTACCTTTTTTATCCTTACACTATGGCAGGGGAGATGGGGACCATGTCTGAACTTTGCAGAAGAGTACCAGAATCTCTTAGCATCCAGCTCTTAAAACATGACACTGCTATGACTCAGATGCAGCATTAATGATGTTCTGTGTGTTGCATTTCCACTGCTCTGGCCAATTTAGTATGGAAGCCTGAGGAACGGGATCTCTATTTTCTTCTGGTTCTCTACAATACATTATAAAATCCAGTGTAAAGGATATTTACCACTATAGAAGAATACCATCCTTCTATAAAATAAGCTGGTAAGTGTCATGTGACAATTGGCAGAAATCTAAGAATAATTTTCTGCTAATGTCATATATTAGTATAGAAGAATTTGAAACTATCGACAGTGCTTCAGGGCAAAAAAAGTCCTGTAAGATGCTCAGAACACAGGGAAACATGTTAAACTTGCACTGTTCCCAGAATCTACAAATGTTACTAACACTCTGAAAGACATAAGTCATAATCCTGCACTAAAATCTGCTGTGCAAAGAGTAACTGTTGATGACTTCATCTTTCATTTTCTTTCCATTCTCTTTTCCTTCCCAAAGTTTTCTTGTTTGTTTTTAACTCACAGAAATATTTCTGTGAAGATCTGCTGTTGTCAACCCTAAAGAATACTTAAGAGGTTTTATAAACATTTACTTAAGCTTCCTTACACAACATTAAATTCTAAAACCACCCAAATGAATTTAACTTACGAAAAAGTTTCTTCTTCTCCCATTAGAAACTTTATGGCAGAAGGCAGCTCATTTTTTACTATGAAGAGATAGCTCAGCATTGCTGAAGGAAGAAGAAAATGACTTTAGGAAACAGATGAGATATTTTGCAGAATAAGAACATTTCTTTTTCCACTTTTTCCAAAGTCAGCCTGCAAAGCTAGAAGACCTAGAACTGTAACTGACTATAAACTACTGATTATTCAGTAATAAAGTATTTTTAAAAGGCAATGTGCAAAACGTAATTGAGATCAAGCATGAAAATCCCAAGACATTACCAGGAGAATAGGGAACCTGCCTAGTTGGTAGGCTTAACTTTATTAAGGTGCTTGTGGCTTGTATTTTTTAATATTCCTCCTTTACCTCCAACATTTTGAAGAGATGTAGATCCAAAGACAATCATTTTCCCAGGGGTACCAAAAACCTGCTCACCAAGCTTTTCATATACCATGCAGCCTGTGTGAAAAGAAATGAGGAGAAAGGTAAAGAATACAGTGGTGTATGCTACTGAGTCAAAACACTTGTGATTCGGTCTCTGCAATCATATCTTCCTGTTGCAACTGAATAGAGAGCCCTTTTGTAATTGCTAGGGCTGAAACTTAGGGAGGAATGTTTTCTTGATATCTGTACATGCTGTCTTTGGCTACCAATCACTTACGGGATTCCTTTAATAAGTCCATCTATACCTTTAGGGGCACTTTAAGTCCTAGTATCCCCATCCTGGCATATTAGTTTTGCAATCTCAATGAGAGAGAGGTTGAACGCCTTCTCTCCAGACCAAATTCAGTACAACAGGGACCACAAACTGGCACTGGCAGTCTGGCCACAACAGACACCAGACTGTGATTCTGTAATTTTGCCTGGTTTGACTAAATGACCCAAATGAAGGCAGCCTCTGTTGTACAGGATGATTTACAGTCTTTAATGATGGTGTTCTTGTGAATTCTAGAATGTGGTATGTTTTTGGTAAAAGCAGAAAACAGTGTAAATTATAACAAAAGCTTAAATTTCTGTCAAGCTTGTGAAACTCCACTATTAATTGGATTGTGCTTCTGTTAAATGTTTTTTTTTTTTCTTTTTGTCTCTTGGCTGTGATTCAGGCTGAGAAAAAAAAAAACACTGGACATGGTGAAGCTGTTGAGACTCACAAGAACAGAAAGAGAAATACTGCAGATGTTGCACTGCACAGATTGTTTTAAAAATGGATCTCATTGTTTGTTTTTCTCTACGTTTCCTTATAGCTGACATTTCTTCTTTGAAGCCTGTATAAACAACAAGATTGACCTTAAATGTAGTGTTGTGTCTGTGATCTGGCAGCACAGAAAACAGGGCTTAGATTCTGGGAGCTAAAAGGCCAAAAGTGTTCACAATTAGGCCTGCACACCTAATTAAATAGGCATTTGCTGCCATTGTACACACCATAATAGTAACTCATCTGCATCCAAATTACATACTTAAATACATTGGCAATCTTATGTACAAATAATTTTAAAAATCTGGCTTCAGTGATTGTTAGTCAAGGAAAGAATCTCTTGGATTCAGAACACAAAGTTATTTAACCCTGTAGATAACTTCTAACTTCTGTGTTTAAAAATACATTTTGCTTAGAGATACACTTCCTTCTGAGGAGGAAATGTTCCCTTTTATTTTCTCCAACATGCAGGCCATCAGGAATTTCACACTAGCCATTAACAAACCTGCATTTCCAGGTAAGCTTCGCTGTAGACAAAGATTCATTATATTTCATTTCAAAATGATTTTGTAATGCAAATAAACTATCTGAGCTGTTCCTTTTACCTTGTTGAAAACAACATTTCACTACAACAGTATTCAGTCTTTGGTATATATATATGTATATGTATATGTATATAGATATATACTTTCTCTTTACAGTGATGGTCATATGCTGTTCTCCTTTGCCATGACATAAATTATTTCAAATTCTGGGCTTCTGACCCAAAATCTGGTAGGACCTTCTTTTTTGTCAGCAAAGTGATGGAAACCCTGTGTTTCACAAAGCACTTGGCTTTATTCTGAGCACTTTTCACCTCTTCTTTACAATTCCATTGAAATGGTACGATAAAATCTTAGATTACCTGTTTCCTTTGAACACACCAACAGGAGATGTATTGAATAAATAGACAGCAATGTCACAGAAACCAAAAGCAGCCTACAAAAGAACGACAGATAAAGCTTACTGTAAGAACAAAGTCCTAACGTTACAATATTTTATGTGTTGGGTCATTACCCACTGATGCCAAGATATTTTTTATAATCCTCTGAGAATGCAAAAACCTCTATAAACAAAAGTGATTTACATGCTTTTTGCAGTTCTAACACACTACAGAGGAGGTACGAAACCTTGTATGCAGAGGAATTCAACCAAGGAAAACTCAGTAGAACTACGTCCTGCTATTTAATTATGCCCTTCCAAGCCGAAGGAATGGAGCTGTTTCACCATATAGGAATTAGGATTTAATCAGAGCAGGAATGAGTCGTATATGTTCCTCACCACACAGTCTAAAGCTTTTTTTTTTCCCCCCTGGAAGCAAAGTAAAAATTTCAGATGGAAGTCTTCTATTTAAGGATTTTCATGCCAAATGTAAGCCAAATGTAAGCATATCTCCCCAAGACGTGCCACCAAAAGTAGCCTCAGTGCCCCCAGAATGGGGATAGAAGGAAGGCTAACACTGCGCAGAGCTGTCTTGCTCTGGCCAGCTCTTGATGTGTGAATGGGACCTGGACATGAACTCAACTCACTAAGTGAAGAAGGTGGTCTCTAGCTTCCATTAAGACCCTATGCTCACAGTGAGTAATCATGAGACTTGAGGACTCTGAGCTTTAGGTGTTGGGCACTAAGGCAGCTGAGCAGGCACCTGACCCTTCACCTTCATGGCCCAGACTGTCTTTTCCTGGGAGTAAAGGCAGAAACCAAAGGCTCGTGCTTCACCCAGGCAGGGACAGGTGCTCCCTCATTGATGTCACTCCCTGTTTTTCCGTGACCCATATTTTGACTTTGCATGTAGAATTGCAGGAAGTAATGACCAAAGTGTTTGTAGAGGGAACCTGCTGGCATAAATGATAATTACTCAGTGCCAGGGGGTAAGTACATAAAAATAGTTTAGTTCGTTGCTTTAGGTCTTTTAGCCAAGCACGATGTGTGTCTTCCCCTCCAACACTGAACACATGAAGGCCTGACCATGTTTTCATGATGTGTGTGAAGAGCATTCAGACAATCTGTTGCCAACTCTGCTTTTTATTATGACAGCTACCCTTGGGACACCAAGGAAAACAAGCCTAAAATTCAAAAGAAAACTGCATATCTATTGCCATAGATAAGCAGAAAGACATCTCTTTTATTGGAACACATAGAACAGAATGAGAAGCCTCCTCCCTCTCCTTTTCTCTTATTTTGGACTATAAATATTTTTGTGTCAAATAATGACCTACGGGTTTCTTGGAGCCAGAGGAGGAGGGAGAAACACAGAGATGGCAGGAAGAACTGCTTCTTTGCCAAGAAAGAATGATGGCTCACAATAACACGACACTTTTCGTACAGGCCAAAGGGTGTTTCTCCTTGGGGAGGTGAAGGGAAAGGAGACTGCATTGGCTGCTCCATTTTTGAAGACGTGCTAAGCTCTCCTGCTGCCCTGCTTCCCCTGTCTGTGTGGAGGCACGGTGCTCACAGCTGCCATGACTCACTCCCAGTCCCAAGTGGCTCTGGTTGCACAGGCCAGCATCAAGGCTATTTTAATATTAAAAGCTCCCGTTTTTCAGGCACTGAGCTCATGGAGCTTTTGCAGTGGTAAAAATAACACTCTCGAGCAGCCAGGTATTTATCTGATCTGCTGTCCTTAGCTCCCCATAGGATTAATACAGAGAAGCTTGGCATTTTCATTAACACTGCATGAAGAACTTGTTTGTGTCAGGACACTCATGCCAGAACCACCCCTTGGAAGGGAATGAGAATGTCCATACCACTCATCCTGTGCAAATTTGAAACAGAAGTGGGGAAGCTCATACTGCCATCTCAATGCTTATTATTTTGCCTAATTTTAAAGTAGTGCTGGCAGCTATGCAAGCAAACAGCACACGAAAAAGTCACCTCCCTTCAACAAATCCAGAATAAACAGCTTAGGGCAGGAGACTGATACAGGGCTATGAAGAACAGACTGTTCCTATGACACCACTGCTGTTTGCCAACAACTGCACTACCAAAGCAGCTGAAAAGGGTACTGTCCCCAGCCCCCCGTGGAGCCCAGGCTGCATACTCAGAAGAGCAAGGATTGTGCAGTCCTCTCTTCACTCGCTGAACCCCCGTGAGGCATCAGATGGGGAAGAGTGTGAAGAGCAGGGTCATGGCACTGTGTGGCTGCAGCCCAGTGACTGCCTCCAGCCAACCTTAGCACAGGTGCCTGCAGGGAGCGGTGTGAAGCTCCAGTTGTCACCTCACACTGCACCACATCCAACAAGCCCTGTGTCTCAGAAGAGCTTTTCAGCTCCTTTGCAGAGCCAGGCTAAACGCAGGCTGAAGGCACCTTGTGCTTGCCAGCCTGTCTGTCTCTGAACATCATCTGCCACTCTGCTACTGGGACTTGGGTGAAACCACAAGCAGAGTGAACTACCTACAGGTGCTCCTGCTTTTCCCAGCTGACATGGCCCAACTGAAAGCTCCTCAACCTTTAGTGCCATATTTCTGCAGTACAAGGCTTTTCTTCCCTTTTTCATAGAAGAAAGAATATTCTTTTCTGATCTAGGTTATAATTATTAACAATATCAGGATAAAATTCCTCTGAGTTTCTCAACTGTTTGCCCAGAAAGCCTGACACTTCACTGCATCAATCAGTTTTGTGAGTACCATGTGAGAGCACACATCCATCTCCGTATTTCTTTTCCACAAGAATTCAGGATCTGAACTGATCTACTTCACACTGCAGAACCACAAAAGTTGTGAGAGTGGAAACCAGTTTTGGTCTGCTTTACTAGCCCTGAAAATGATGCTTTAATTTTCACTCCTCTGCTTTCTACTTTTCAGAGACGCCGCAAGCAAGTACTGGCAGTCAGACAACCTGGACAAGGCAACCTAGAAATCTTCTACAATTCTGCTATTCATGTGTAATGAATGTGAGTGCTTTCTCAAGTGCAAAAAGCATATGAATTTTTTCCAAGACTTTATTCTTTATCACTTGTAAAGAAGAGACAGATGAAAGATATACTTGGAATAAAGAGCAGGACTTTGTAAAAAAAAAATAAAATGCACTGAATAAGAGTGTGACCAAAACTGTAAAAGCACTGGTCTAACTTTAACTATGAGACTAAATTTTCAGGCATAACTACAGAAAGCACATTAGGATGATCTGTCTCCAGGCATCAAAAGCAAAATCTCAGCCAGACTGGTCAGCTAGGTCCTGCTAGCTTCCTTACCTTTCATCTCAGCAGACTGATCCATCTCCAAGCCAACAGGTCTAAAAGCATCATTAAGCTATCTAAAACAATTATCTACTTTTAAACACAATCTGATTCTCTAGAGAGTAGCATTGTTACTTGCTGTATAAAACTAACAAACATTTTTGATTTTGGCAGATTTTATGCAGTTAGGTGGCACACATCTACACACTCCCTACTCAAACCAAGATGAACTCAGTCTCCACCACAGGTTGTTAGAAGTTTCCCCAGTGTTCACATCACTGGCCTGATCTTGAAAGAAACTGCCTTTCTACGTCCTTGAGACCAAATGCATTTCACTTAAACTCTCACAAAAAAAACTGTTCACTGAGAAAGATAGAAGAGAATGAGATTACTTACAGAAATATAAAGCAATTGAGGGTGAAATTGAAGATGCCTATGATGCCCTCTTAAGAAGTAGATATAGAAAGTACTACTCTTCAGCTGAGACATTATTATCTCAGAAGAGACAACTAGACTGAACTTTTTTTGGTTGCAAGAGTCTCTGCAGACCTCTGTCTGTGCCCTCAGAGGTGAACATATCAGAGCATGGTGGAATATCATAGAGAGTTTAGTATCACATGCTGGTTCAAATCAGCAAAACTGAAGTAAACTCAGTCCCTCTGCATAAGAAAAATCTAAATCTGAGTCCTGCTACTTTATTGCCTAGCTTAGTTGCAACACAATAATGAGGCTTTGTACATTCTTAATGTAAGTGGATTAATTCCTCGGATTATTCCCAGATTTTACCCAACCACTGCAAACTGTACTCTAGCAGCATGGCTGCAGCTATACTGGCACAAAACCCTGGAGCAGATGGCTGTACATACCACTCTGGCCATTCATTCTGCTATATGCAGAGCTCACCTTATAATTTTTCAAAAAAAACCTACGAAATGTTAAGTTCTCAATTTTTTAGACTCTGATGTTTAAGAAATAACACCTCTGCACAGTGATCTGTAAACTTAATAACCGTGTTGAGCAGTTCTCAAATACTGTAAATTATTGTGTTTCTTCCCTCAATGAACATTTATTACTGGAATCTGCACACAATTCCCAACTGATTTCTTAACAATCACTTTTCACAATGAAATGCCTCATGCTGCAAACCAAAATAACACAGTATTCTGTGTCTTATTCATTCATTGGCACAGTTTCATTTTTAAACTATAAAATTCTGTTTTATGAAATGCTGCTTTTTTTTTTGGTAAAGTACTGTACCTCAGCCTTTTTTTTTTTTTTATACTCAAATCTTGGCTATATTTATGTTGCTTTTAAGGACTCTCACATAAGAAACTGAAGAAACTTTGGGAATGAGATGAAAATATTATATCTGACATTTAAAAGAGTATAAATATTCCTTTTTCTTGCTTACAAGATTAGATATTGCATCATGCTTTGCTGAAAGCTACAGAGATTCTGTGACACACGTAAGAAGTAAGTACTGTCACACTGCAAGTATTACTACTGAATAAATTTGCTATTTTCAATGCATGTGCAATTTGTAGACCACAGGAAAAGTCTCTGGCTAGGCACAGGTCAGCAGTTGATGACACGAACTTAATCTGCTCTAGAAGCACAACTAGTGGTTTTTTTTTTCACTATTACTTTGACTGAAAAATAAATGTCTGAAAAACGTAGCTGACCTTTTCAGCTTGAAAGCTGTAGTTTAGTATTTGAGTTCATTTTTAGACAGTGAAACAGCTGACCCATCCAGCAGTACCCTGAAATCCAAACCACTTATACAGGTCGGCTACTTCACGCGATGAAGAACATCACATTTCCAAAGGACCATCAATCACTCCACTCGCTCACAGAGCAGAGATCAGCTCCTCAACCCATTCACACTTACGAAAAAAGGAAGATTCCTGTGTTGGCCAATGCAAAAGCGAGGCCTAAAATGCCACTGCCCATGATGGCGTTGCTGAGGTTGAAGACAGACATTCCCAAAGAAGTCGTACCTGGAATCTGGAGAAACAAAGGTTTGTGTGTCAGCAGGAGTTTGGAACAGAGCACAGGAATGCCCCTACACCCCAACCTGCAGGCTATGTGATAATCAGATAGAAAGAGCTATTGCTGTGGGAGCACTGTCAGGTTGGAATGAGAAAAAAGGCCGCTTCTCTTTTTTCACGCTTATATTCTGATTGCTGCCCTACGGATTTTGTAAACTCACATCAGTACAATGGGCAATATACAACTCATACTTACAGTCTGAACTTTAAAATCCGTCTCTTGCCACGCCTGTGAGACATCTTTGGTGTGCGAGTGATGCTTTATAAGGCCTGGGGAACAGTCATGCCTTCTGCCCAGCAAGGGTCCAGAGGACTCCCCTTGCCTGAACCAAAATGTTTTTTTGGTTTTTCGGATTTCAGTAACAAATGCCTGTACTCAGCTCTTTTGAAGACTATGTCTAAGGGCTCTCCATACATGACAGACAGTTCATATTGACAAAGGGAAAGCCTGGAAAAATACTTACATATTCATCACATTTCTTCTTTTCCAAGTGGCTATTTGTGAGACTTCTCCTGCTTTCTCGGTCCGAAATAAACTTGCTGAAAGAAGTCAGAGGATTAATTCCCAGCAAAGAGCCATTAGCAAATGCAAGCAAGTTAATTCCATGAGCAGCATGTGATCACAAAATACACAATGTATACAAGCTGTACACAAGAAAAGGTCAAGCCTGTAACTGTTAAAGGAGTCCCATTCTGCTTTCCTGATGCCAGCACAGACTGAGTGTCAGTAAAGGTACCACCAGATCAGAATAAATGTGTAGGGAGAGGTATTTTAGGAGATCCAGTAAGGTAAGGGCACCAACAAGCTGCTGAGTACAAGCCCTCTGTTGCTACCGTGGGGTTGGTGCAGTTGGAGCTAAGAGGAGGATGAGGTGCTGCAGGCAGCAGCGTTGCTGGGGCCATTCTGAACCAGGCCATGTGCTCTGTGGGTGTGCCTCAGGTTGGGGCTGCTGTATGGTCAACAAGAAGCCCTTCAAAACTCAGTATCAAATTCATCACACTGTAAAATCGAACATCTCTGAGTAGAGGAACATGAGCTGAATGGCTTTTTTTTCCTCTACAGCTTTACTTGCTCTCTATCCCTAATACAGACAACGGATTTGCAACACTTCTGACTAGGGCAAGCTGCTAGTTTCTCCCAGACCCACTCTTCAGCAAACAATTTTACTTTGTGTAAAGCATTCTTCCAGCTATTCCATCTTCCAGAAGTTTATGCACAATTAAGTCCCTGGCATCTCTGCTAATTTACAGAGGTTCTCGGGCACTGCCTCTAGCAGCCATCGTTTGTAACACATACCTATCCAGTGGTTGTTACCAAGCTTCCTTTTTTCTGTAGGCAGGTTACAGTGACTCTTCTTAAAGCAGTGAGCTGAACACAAAGACCAGCCCTAATGGCCCTTTCCCACAGCTGGGAACATCTCCTGGCCAAAGATTCACAGTTCTGATTCTGACTGTGCAATTATTGCTGTTTTTGTGGCAACTTTGATTCCTACTATCGTTCTGCTTCGATTTGCTCTGTATATAAATCAACCATAGGCTTCTCCTTTATTTTTTGAACGGTTAACTTCAAAAACTAATTTACTGCAAAATACAGATACTGAGCCAGTCTCTAAAGCCCTAAAGCAGTTGGAATATGTGGCTGATCCTCCCCCAGTGTTTTAAGGAGTGAGAAGCAATCACGGCTAAGGTGAACTGATCCAAAATTAACTTTCTGAATCTCACCAGGAAGGCTGATGGAATAAAATCTCAACCTGATCTTCTGTAGATTCATAGTATATGGTTTGGTTTTTTTTTTTTTTTCCAGTCTGTTTAAAGCTGAGCACAGGCAGCTGAGTGTGAGGGGCCTGACAAAGACATTCCAGCTCCCTCTCGAAACACCCTGCAGGCAATTTGTACAGGCAGGAGCGCAGAGAAAAGTTTTGTCTCTTTTGTGTTTCTGAGCACTGCTGGGAACATCTGTGGGCTTTGCCTTCTTCTGTCAACCATGGAGATCATGTGTCATTTCAGATTTTGTCAGAGTAAGGAGAAGTCAGCTAGTTCGCTCCCCCTGCTCCTGCTCAGCCCCACGCATTCATTCTGTTCAATAATTACAAAAATAACAAATCTGTAGATACTACCATTACTGCCACCAGGCATTAAAGATCAATGAAAATTGTTGTTAAAGAGCTAGCACATGACAAAGACTACATCCAAAAGATATTGCTTAAATGTAAAGCAATTTTGGAATTTTTCATTTCAATACTTCCAACAGAAATGAGTTTTTATATAATTGGTATTTTCAGTAGAACAAATGCATTATTTCCTTCCAGATGGGCAGCAGAGAAAACATCTGGTTCAATAAACTAATCCAAAGTACTTTCTCTGGAGTTAGCCATGTTAAAATCGTCTCATCTTCTATGACAAGGTGTGTTACTCATCCACTCCACATTTACCATGTTGCAGTGCACACCTTTTCTCTATCTCTGCTGCACAGTGTGAATGGGCAGGCAAAGTCAGACACAGGAATGCGGCCATCGTGACCTTCTGGGAGAGGCAGAGCATTGCCCAGCTTGCACAGGGCTCTTCCTGGCCTGCCTGCCAGCCAGCTGGGGCTGTGAGATGCCCGTCTGCCTGTCTGCGGCTACATGCCCTGCTGCAAGCAACGTAACTGGCAGGCCTGGACAGGAAGGTTGCCTTGGGTCGATGCTCAGTAGGTGGCATGGATGCATCGCGGGACACCCCATGCTGCTCATAAATGGAATGCGTTGCTGAACTCAAATTCAAAGAGGAAATAAAAGGAGAAAATAAAAGAAAGTAGGGAGAAGGCAGACAAATGGAGTCAACAGAAACTAATCTTCCCAATATATGCTTTTTTTTAATAAATGTTTCACTTTTTTTTGTTTTTTTTTTTTTTTAATCCAATTTCAGGATGTTTTTTTACTACAGTATGTAAAGGAGAACACAGACTGGAATACTATAATTTCTTATTAAATCATGCCTTGCATCTGCTCTGTTCAACAGATGCGCTTAGAAAGCGAGCTACACGTTGTCACAATGATGTACATTGAGATTTACAAATCTGACTTGAACAAAGAAATACGACTGTTTGCTGCGGATCCTCCTAGCCCACAGAAAGATAAGAGTCAGTGACAGGTCCTACAGAAATGCACAGTGAGGCAACCCATGCCTCCAGTGCCCTGTGGCCCCTGACAAGCATAAAATCCATTTGGGCTGCTTGTTGTCTTCATTTTGAATGCTCTACTCATCATACACAATCATAACTCATTCTTCTACATTTCTGATTTCCTGGTGTGCTTTCTACATCACAGTCAAGCATGAACAGTTTATGCAAAACTTTTCAGATGCATTTATAGAATAACCTGGTCAAAAGATGATCAGCTCATCCTTGTGATGAAAGAAGCCTCACGGTTGGTTTGGAAAGAATTCTGTAATCCAATTATTTTTCTGCCTTGTTTTACTGAAAAGCAGAAACTCAGTCTTATTGATAAAGTGGTTTTAAAAGGACCATACTTAACCACAGTCTCCAAATTTAATTTATTAAAGGACATAAATGAGAAATATTTGATAAAGGTGATATCCTGGAGCTAACCATTTTGGCTAAGCAGAGTTAAAACCATTTAGCCATCTTAGATATGTTTAAACATAATTAACTTAAACTGATACTTGACAATGCCTTAAACATTTGTTAGGGAAGGCTCATTTTGCCAAGATGACAGAACTCTATCCTCAGGCGGTTTCTTAAACGGAGCTCCAGCTTGAGCGATGGCAAAGATTTCCAGGGCAAGCAGGAACAAGAAATGCAGAAGAAAGCTTGCTCTGGCTTGCACTATGAAACTTTGACCAGATCTGGGTATAGCTACCAGCAGCCTTGTCAACCAAACAAGGAGCGCTCATAACTTACCCATAGCTGCAGACTAGGAAAAGCATCCAGCCAGCAGCTTCCTGACAGCATCATCACAGGTACAGATCCAAGTCTGCTGAACAGCTTAGCAGATCTGTCCTGCTATCACAGGAAGCAACAAGTCATCTAAGCACTGATTTATGTCATATTCAGCAATGACAAAGACGTGTACCCAGGATAAATCGTTAAAAGACAGCAAGCCCATATCCAGAAAGTATTTCACATTTGCACGCACAGAAAAACCCTCCCAATAGAGCTCCTCCCAAATAATATAACATTCCTGCATACACAAATACATATTCAGGCCCAGAAAATGCTGGAAATCTAAAGGGAACTAGAGAATTCTTTTCTGAGATCGGGAAATATTTGGGGTTTAAATCAGCTTTGTACTGCTGCATTGTCCCCAAAAGACTCTTACAAATGCTACATTCTACATTCTGCTTGAAAAATTATGCACTGGGAAAAAAAAAAGATTCAAAATGAAGTACAGAGTGTGGAATCAAACAAGCGGAAACAACTGCAAAAAGTCAGTTGAAAATTACAGATCTAATCTAAAGCTCAAGTGAAATCAACAAAAAAATCCCCACTGATACTGGTGGACTTTGGCGTTTCACAAGGCCTTACACCATGTGTCAGATGGCATAAATATGAATGTCCATACACCCCTTAACCTCATATTACACAGAGCCTGGGTGTTTTCTGACACAGCTATGGGATTTCTATCGGGAAGTGAAAACAATAGAATACACTCATGTGCTTGAAGAGCCAGAGCAGGATTTAGAAATTTTGTCTCAGTTCTGACACTTTCCTCACCCAGTTTTTACTCCAACTCAACCCTGCTCAGACGCTGCCACGCTCACAGCGCAGCTCCATAAAACACACAGTGAGCACTGCGTGTCACACACATGCAGCACACTCCCTGCTCAGCCTCTACAAGTGCTCAATGAAAGATGATGGGCTAACAGGGCTTTTCCCCTGACAGTTTCCAGACAAGAGCTCAGGAGGCACAGCTACCACTCCTCCTCCTATCAAGGACATAAATCCTCAGTAGGCCCCAGGGAATGCTTCTACCACTGTCAGCTCATGAGCTCCAAGGAAGCTAGCGGCAAAGCCAGCAGGTTCATACAGGAACCGTTTTGTTTTGACAAAGTCCGAGTTTTGTTTTTTTGCTTTTTGTTGGTTTTTTTTTTTATTAAAAACAAAACAGAAGTAGTTTGCATTTCTCCCTGGCACCTTCCTTCAAAGTGGTTGCATCAGAAAATTCCTGATCAGCCCTAACCTCCACTGGCGCAGCCACACTGTGGTCACACTGCAGCAGGAGCAGCTGGTGGCCACCCCATAGCTTTCCCAGCTGGGCTGGCTGTAGGCCCAGCCCCTGCCCCTTGCCGCGCAGCGCTTTGACAGGAAGTTTGGTCAAAAAGCTGCCTCTTGCTTTGCAGCTTGCAAAACCCAGCTGGAGCACAGCAACAGACCCATGGTGCACGCAGCAGAGTTCAGCACCTGTGGGATGCTGGTGCCTGGCATAGAGGCCTGGAAGATGCACCATCATGCAGAACAAGTCTCTTTGGTAAACTGCTATACCATAGGAAAAGTGATTGTCCAGTTTGCACTAGAATTGACAAATAGCTGCATTCCTCATCTGGATACAAGTTAGGTGCAGGTCTCTGAGCAGTTCCTCACCCTCTATGCCCTGGGGTGGAGTGGTGCTGCTTCTCATCCTGCCCAACTTTGAGCAGTGCCAGCTGCAAATCCCCACCAGCCTGGGGACGCGGATGTGGCCAGGCAGGTTTCAGCTGTCATCATAGGGTCAACGAAGCAATTTGTTTCAAATTATTCCATTGGTCTAATTGTATTTATTATTATTGCTTCTCTGCTTTGTGCAAGTAGATGTTTCAGAATGTTGGGCTTTTTGCTACATTATATGTTTGTGCATTTTATTAGACTAATTTGAAAGATTTGAAACGATGAATAAATTGTCACTCTCTTTGCTTTATCTGCTGTTGCAGCCTATGCCCAACAGATGTCACATATGAAATTCAAATTACGTCTTCAAATGGAGCATGACTTGGTCATGAATAATTCAAAACTTACACTGAAAATTAGAATGCTGTTTTTAAACAGCGTGTTTCTTAGCACAGGCAGTGTCAATGGAAAAATACTCACCTATTTATCTGGCCATTTTCCACCTCTGTGAAATCATTTGAATCGTTGCTGATGTTATCATCTTCAGGGATAGTCATATTCTGTAATTCAGTCAGTTCTAATCCAGCTTTGAATGGCATCTTGGGTGAGGAACTGTACGTATCCAAGTGCTTCTTGAAATGTTAGTGTTTGGTTGGGATGTGGTGGGTAAATGGCAGCCACAGTATCAGCAACCTAGGTAAGACAAGAAAAAAGCCCAAGATATACACACCAACAGTAGGTAATATCACCAGAAGAATACAGTGAAACCTGGACATGAGGGATCATCCTCACCAACCTATCTGGTATCATTAGAAGCAGTTCAGGTTTTAACAGAAGTCATGCAGTGCAGTAGTGATGTTTCATTCTCCGTAACGAGATCAACTCCACAAGCCTTACAGATTTACCCAGTCCCACAACTGACTGCAGAAGATGGTGCCTGCAGTTATAAACTAGGGAGCAAACCTATCATCTTTGATTCAGAAGAAGAGACTCAATGACTTACAAATTAAGGAATAAAACTTATTTGCTTGCCCACGAACCATTAGTTATTCAGTGTTCATCTTCAGTACATTCTCCATATTGCTCCTTACTTAAAAATATAAAATACCTCAAGTTCATGCTGCTGCTAAATGGAGGAACAGTGGGGCAGTGTTATCACAGCACTCTGTTCTACTGATGTCTGTACTCAAGGTATTTGAGTATGTTAGGTTTTTCTTTGGTAAAGAAGAGGTACAGAGGCTGCTCTGTGTATGGCTACACTTATTGCAAACAAGGACAAAACCAGACAACAATAAATCCCTAAGAACACATCTCATATGAAGAATGAATAACATACATAGTGTATCAAGCAGTTACTACTTATTGACCAGGAGGCCTCTCTGCTGTTAGATGTGTTACATAAAGGTGCCAAGAAAAGCACCAAAGGCAATTTGGATAGGGCTGCTATGGTGGCACGTTTCCTTGTTAGAAATGTAAATCAGCTGAAGGCCAACTTTTTCCAGAGCCTGACAGACCAACAGTGCCTGCATGATGCAGAGGCGCCAGAATGTTATTCAGAAACAAGCACCCACACCACAGTCATTACATTCCCGTTTTGTGAATGAATGTTCTGCTGCATTGCCAAGCAATAATATGCAATTTGTCTTGGGGTACTTGGTGAATGCCCACATGCCACATTTATTTGGGGATATTTCCTCAAATTTGTGGAACTGCCTCAAAGCCACCAAGCTACTCTCACGCAGCCAGGGAAGCAGCAGTGTCCCCAGACTGTGACATCAGTCTGCTCCAAGTAAGTTTGCAGGGCTCAATACTCCTGGCTTACACCACTTCCCCTCACGCAGAGGAGGGCTTTGCAAAGAAGCCCTTTTCCCTTTAAGTTTCTGAGCAAAGTACATTTATCCTCAGTCTTCCAAAAGCTTCCCCATGAGCCCTGGCCATGGCAGAGGCACTGTGCCGTTGGCGGAGCGGGGCCCACCCTGCCTATGGGAGCAGCACATGCCCAGATATGGAGGCATGAGGAGGGCACATGGCTGCCAGGGGAGGACTGTGTGCATGGACCCTGGCCAGGCTCTCCTCAGCTCCCCTGCACAGCAAGTGCAGAGCACGAGCACCCAGGGCAAGCTCCCTGTGTTTTATAAGGCTGGTGCAAGGCAAAACGAGAGTTGGCTGCAGACATACAGCTGCAAACCGGTGAACGAGGGGTGGCTCTGGTGGTGATATTCTGGAGCAGTCTTCCCAGGGGCATAAAGTAGTCTACTTATTTTGGAAGGAAAGCGTGATCTTTTTATAAAAGGATAAAGCCACAGGAGGCAGCGGCTGTGAGGTGGCAAGGAGTGAGCATGTTGAATCCTGAGGCTTCTTGTGACCATCAGTCCCTAAAATAAACAGCACCTTAACAGAAGTGGCAATGTGTACTGAGATCTGTATCTGGCATTTTAAAGCCAAGCAGAGGCTCGTCTAAAATTCAAGCAGCGCAACTTTCCCTGTGGAGGCTCTTTTGCATCTCTGTCCCCCAGGAGGATTTTCCCAATCACCCTGACACTGCTTGTGCTTAATAAATTCTATGCTGAGTGCGTTCAAAAATAGGGGCTGAAATTCACTCCTCTGTGAGGTAAACAGCTTGTTCGAGAGTGGGCTTCACGGCTTGCTGGTGTGCAGCTCCTGCTTCCCCTTCCTGCTGCCACGCAGCTGCTACGCTGTGAGCCGGACCTACAGGAGAGTGTCTGGCTGATTTATCTGCAAGGAATCTTTGGAGTGCAAAAGCGATGACTTTTCTGTTTGTTTGTTTGAACTAAAGCTCACATTCTACCAAAAACAGTCTGAATGAAGATGCTGGTGCAGCTGATGCCAGCTGACCCACCAGTAACAACTTCAGCAAATTCCAGATTTCAGACAGATGAGTGGCTCCTGCAACAGCATGACAGCATCTTGGAGTCTGTACCGGGTTCTTGTTAGGTTAAGTGGTTTACTAAAACAAAACAGAACCCTGAAACTAACAACACTGTGGAGTGAAATAATACATTGAACTTCCAAGAATGAAAAAACCTGACCTCAGTGCCAAAATATGAGGGCACCAAAGAGAGAACTGCGAGGCTGGGGCCTGAAACTTCGACTGTCACAGCAGGAATTCATTCCAAGGCTTTGGCAAAGGATAACTACCTTGTCCTTAGCACCTCCAACTGTAAAGCTGGAGTAACAATAGTGACAAAAGCATTCAGTGAAGTGCTTGAAAATTCAGAGAGAAAGAGCGATATGTGTGATACCCAGAAAAAAAATTCCAAGTAAAGCTCAGAAATTTTGTAAAAATAACTTTCCTTTAGATATACACAACACAAACCCTTCATCAGAGCTAACCACTCTTGGTTCCCTCCACAGGCCTGGATACAGGTGGTCACATGCAATTCACTCCAAATTGCCTGTTTATATTGCAGGTGATGGAAGTGACAAATAGCACATAGCTTCTCAAGAACACCCACAGTCCCTAGAGGTAGAGATCCCAGCTTTACATTCCTCATGCTGCATGCTGGCTCTGCAAAAGTATGGAGAAAGGAAGACAGATGTGTATCTGCTGCTGTAGGAAGGAAAAAAAACCAAATGCTTCACCTCACAAGAGTCATTGTATGTTGATTCTGAGCTGGAGGTGTTTGTATTTTTACTGAAAACCTTTTCGTTCAAACAATGTGATAAGGTAAATGCAGATAAAAATGCTATGTTGGCAAAAATTGCTAGACTGAACTTGATTATTAATTGCCTTTTAATGTAAATTAAAGATAATCTGAAAAGTGACTGCAGCAATCCCTTTGTGCTTGCTACTCTGCCCATCTTTAAACCTCATAAACAGAGAAGTTCCAGATCCCTGCAATCAAACCTCTCTCCAGACACACACAGACTAAAACAGAAAGAAAAAAATTAGAATCTTGCCCTTACTTCCGACTTTTCCACTCACATGGGCAAATACTTCTTGAAGCATGAATTGCCCCAAGAGAAAACCAGAAAAGGGGTAAAGACACTTCTAAAGGAACCTCAAAAGTCTGTGTTTGGTAGCTGATCCAGGCCTCCGGTGCAGCAGAAAAAGCCCTGCACTGGCCTAGGAGCTTGGTTTTCTCTTTAGACATCCCATGACATGTCTTGCAAATCCCACAACGGATAATTTATTCCCTGTTCCTTGTAGAACATGGGAAAGATTTCAACTGGTCACAGACTTCAGAAGGAGTAAGATGACACAAGAAGATAAAACGAGTTTATTTTTCTCAAGGATATGGAGACCTTCACAAGCCATTAAAACACATTCCAAGAGCCGGGCTCTTTTTCTCTGTTGCCTTCTGACACATCAAAAGAAAAATAAAAAGAGCCCTGCCACTCCTCTCTTCCGCACAGTCAAAAGCTCCAGACTGGCAGTAATGGGCTCAAAAAGTTTGAATTTGACAAAATATGTTAATATACACAATCTAACTTTATTTCTTTTGGCTCAAGCACGAGTCCGTTCTAGGCAGTACTTGGAAGAGGTATAATATATGAAATACACCTCTAGAAACACAATAGAAGCAGCATCTCTAAAAGTAACATCACTCCTGGTGGTAACGATGATGGCATAACTCACAGGTATTTTTTTTCATATCCCGTGAAGGACATAATTCAAGAAATGCCATCTTAGGATGAGACGCTGCCCAGGAGCTGATCAGGGCACGGAGTGGGGCTGGACACCATTATGCCCATCTTGAGGTATGGTTTTCCTCACGTCAACTTGCACACTCACCGCGTGCTCCATTCACACTGCATTTCCTGCAGTCTTTGGGATGGCAAGTATCCAAGACACACTAAGCAATTTTAACTACGGAATTCAAGACAATTTACTTAAAAGAAATATGACTCAACTTTTTGCTCAGGAGTTTTGCCAAGAAGTCCCCCTTCTTAGTCGGTTAGGAGGCATCAGAATGCAGCACCTGAGTTTTGCACATGCTGTTTCATTCTTGCAAAGCCTGAGATATGATACATCTTTGCTTGCACTTTTGAAAGTTCTTTCAAAGAACAGCAATGTGACCAATAAGACTCCATGAGCATAAATAATGAAAGGCCAAGCCTGAAATGCTGCGTATGGACTATTCACTTAAACGACAGAAAGCAATAATAGGTTTTAGACAGTATCACATTGAAAAGCCAGGAAGCAAATCTCTCCTTTCTGCTAGAGACACCTGACATCTGGAACATCAAGTTCCCGTTTTACTCCTAACCTACAGGAAGGACAGAATTGAGAGATGAGAGGAGCACTACCGAGATAACAAAGAGCCTGGAAATAAATTAAACACTGACTCACATCCAGTGAGCAAACATCTGTGGAGCTGAAAATGTCACTGCCTCCAGCTATCCGGCACTGCTCCTCTGCAGCCCAGGGAGCTGGAGGAAGGAAGCAGCCTCATCCCATTTGATCCTTGCTCAATTGATGCCTGTGCCACCAGCGGCAGCACTGCCAGGCGTTGTCAGTGCGGTGACCATCAGTCCTTCCAGCATCTGCAGCTGTTGGCTCAGTGGCTACAAGCCACCACCTTTCACATCCAGGCTCCTCTATCACACAAGGAAGGAACAGTTACAACACAACAGCAACCAACAAGTGAGACAGAAGACTCGATGAGGAAGATCAGAAAAGGATGTGAAGGCAAAGGAGCAATATGCACACGTGTTCAGCCATCCTCAGCACTGTGACCTTGTGTTGCAACAGAAAAGTGTTCCCTATCGCACCCCATGCTGCCCTTCCACGCGGCATGAAGGAGGGGGGGTCAGTCCCAAATTAAGTCCCGACAGGCTGCTCAGTTGATTAAAGGCAGGCAAATCAGAAATCATAAAACACTCGCCTGATTCACCCAGTGATTCATTACTTTAGGCAAAACACTTAAAGATGAGCCATAAAGGAAAATGGTTTTAAGTACATTTCTGTTCTGAGCCCTTCCCAGTCAATTTAGGGAAGGCATTTGGCAGAGGAATACAGCCACATTTTTTCCTAATTATATTTCTCTGTGAAATCCTCTTAACAGGCTGGGTTTTGCTGAAGAGGTCCCAGGACACACCACCACAAATGAACGAACTCTTGTGCTGCACAGGGGCTGTGCTGTGAGTGCTGCAGGATGAGCCACAGCAAGCAATGAGAAGGAGTCCACAGGGCTAAAAAGCAGCTTCCATATTCCAATCTGAAATACACTGTGTACCACAGAAAGGCAGTTTTGCGTAGGTTCATATCTAACTCATTTCTTCTTTTTCCCCCAGTTTACATGTAATTTCTTTGTTTTGGTTTCCTTTACTGTAGAAGACTCAGACTGATATTTAGCTGATAACCTTACACAAATATTATGAGTGAACTGGAAAAGGGCTGTAAAGCACTTCCAACATGAACAGGCTGCTGTTTTTCCCATGAGTAGCTGCTCAGTCTTCTTGGGTTGGATTAAGGTTACAGTAATAATTACATGCCAGAAAGGAAACTTCATTCAGGCTTGAAACATTTAAATACCCCCACAACATCTCATTTGCCTTCATCATATGAACTTTTAAAGCAGCAGTAATTGTTCTGCTGGGTGTTAAGCCTGCTTCTATAGAAACGAGCAAACTGAGGAAAAAAGCAGCGGGAATGGACAGGGCGCAGGAGGGAGAAGTGTGCCATTTCTGCTTGGTCACCCTTCTGCCTCCTTAAAGAATGATGAAAATCCACATGAGAAAATCCAGATGAAAGGCAGCACAGAGACCTGAGGAAGGGAGCCCACCGTAAGAGAGCTCCCATCCTACCCTTCAGGCATTAAACCCTGGATTTGGCCTCAAGGACATGGGCCTGCCACGGTCTCCAGCAGGCTGTGCGATGCCCCACAGCCAGGGGACAGACAAGGGCCAGGCAGCCTCAGCGACAGGCAGGGGATGCTGCTGCTGCAGTGTGCCTGGGGCAGCGTGCTCTGCTCTGCCTTCTCAGCCACAAGAGCCTCCTCAAGGCAAAGTCACACAAGAGTCACACAGTGCGGCAGCTGATCCCGTTGGAGTCAGTGAATTTCCACCACGCCACAGCAGCAGGCCTTGCTCGCTGGGAGCGCACGATGCCCGGATTTTGGACAGGTTGCTACCAGCTGATTTCAGTGCCATGTGGGAACAGCAGCTACTGACTATGTATATCCTTCAGCAACAGATGGAACTTCCTTTTGCAGGCTTTTTAAACGGAGTTCATGCTTCGGTGAGGAATGAAGTTGCATGGAGCAATGATTTCTTTTTCTTCCCTTTACTTCTAGACTCAGAGTATATACACTATTTCCTCCAGAATGTATTCAGTCAACTCAAATGGGCTTTTTCTCATGTTTGTGCAGCAATGGTTGCCCTCGTGCAGCATCAAACCCAAGGGCGAAGCAGCACCAAAAGCGGCTGGCAGCAAGGGCCCCGCGCACACGGGGACCTGTGGGCACAAAGCCCGCTGCCGTGCAGGTCTTTTATTTCGCCTTTCTACCGCCACATAAACAAAGCACGGCTTTACAGCTGCCCAGCTCCTCTTTCACAAGGGTGAATAAACGACAGCTACAGGTTGCAAGGCAAACTCGGGGAAACAATGGGGCGCACCCCCCTAACAACGGGCTGTATCCACGCACACGTGAGCAGATGTACACACTCGGACATGCCCCACTTTTATGCTGGCCTTTGGCACGTTAAAAACGAGCAGATCGCCTGTTACATGCTCACATATTTAATACATGCACACGTACGCACAAATACACACACACACACACACACACAAGCAAACGCGCGCGCTGCCCGGGCCCACCCCGCATTTTCCAAATGCCGCACAAGTTCCCCACGGCCGCGGCTGTGGGGCAGGGCCGGGCCCGGCACGGGGGGCTGCGGCACACTGGGCCCCGGCCGCGTTCGCAGCTATCACATTCCGGAGCTCCTAACCCAGAAAATGATCTTTTTTTATTTTCTTTTTCTTTTTTTTTCGCATTGCCGTCGCTTCATTGCCCCAATCCCCCTTTAATATTTTGCTTTTCATTTTGCCGCGGCTCAGCATCCCGGCGGCCCCCCTACGGAGGCGGATGCCGCATGGCAGCTCCCCCCCCCCCCCCGCTCCCCCAGGCCGCCCCAGCACCACGCCGCCGGGCTCCCCGCCGCCGACCCCGCGCGTTCGCAGGGCTGGAAGCCGGGCACGTTCGGGGACAAAGCGCGGAGGGCCCCGGCCAGGCTCTCCCCGGCCATGCGTGGAGACAAAGGCAGCGCGGGGCGCCGCGTCCCCGTCCCCGGGATTGCATCAGATGCCGCCTACCTTGCGAGGAGCCGCGGGGAGCCCCCAGCGCGCAGCGCAGCCTCTCCCAGCGGCGGCCGGCTGGAGCAGCCCGGCGGAGAATCGTACTGAAAAGAATACGATGAAAAACAAAATAAAAATAGTCAGGAAGAAGCGAGAGGCCGGGGGAAATTAAATTGGAGAAATGAGGACGGCGAGAGAGATGCCGCTCCTCCCGCCGCGGGTGTGTGCATGTGGAGGTGGACGGGCGGCGAGAGCGCGCAGGGCGCGCCGCCGCGCTAGAGCGGGACCGCGCCGCCAGGTGCCGGGGCCGCGTAGCCCCCCGGGCCGCCCCTCGAAGCGGGGCTGCGCGCTGCCCCCCTACCCCGCACCCCCTCCCCGCCGGGCACGCACACGCCGTGCCGTGCTGTTCCACCACCGTCGCCGCCACCGCGTTTCTGACTCTTTTTTTTTTTTTTTTTTCTTTTTTCTTTTTCGACAAAAATCGTTTTTCTTTATGTTTGCTTTCTTTTATCTCTGGGGCTCACCCAAAGGAGAGCCTCTTCTGGCAAGGAGGACAGATTTTGGTGGGTCTGTTCCCCGAAATGGCCACGGATCTGGCATCATCATTGCCGATTTCCTGTTTCGTTATGCAAAATGTATAGAGTGGAAATGCAGCAGTTGGTGCCAGAGGTCAAAGCATTCTCAATGGGAGAAAGCCACGGTTTTCAGACATAAGAGGGGGATTTACTGCATAGATGATTTACTGGAACTTCTTGTTCCCAGAGTTATCTCTATAAAGTACTGTAGAAGCTTTCCAGCATGGGAAAAAATCCACCAACTTTTAAGAACAAGCCTGAAGCAAGATGGCTTTGTGGTTAACAAGGGAGACTGCAGGCCCTGGTTCCACTCTGCAGCACATGGCCTGTACAGGATGCCCTGTACCTGGGCAAAAGGGAGAAGGATGCCAAGAGTGTGCCTTAATAAGCTAGGAGACCTTCCTAGTGTCCAGTGTTGTCAGGCCCAAAGGCAGATGTTGCACATGAAAAATTGCGTTTTTCAAATCTGTACGTGCACAAATTTGATTTCCTTTATGATGTTTACAGTGACTTTTTGTTTTCACTATGGAAGCTCTTTGGATGTGAAGTACACTGTGCTAGCAGTGAGTTAGTTCACCCCACTGTACCCAACAAGGACAGGAGCTGAACACCCTCCTGGTAAAGGGAGCTGAGCAGAAGGAGCTGCCCAAGGTCACTGAGCCAAGGGCTCCACCAACACTTCCTCATGGCCAGGAGCCTCTCTATTGCTCATGTATGGGGCCCCATCAAAACTTCAACCAAGGATATGGGGTCACCTCCAAGTCAGGGGATCGGCTCTGGGTCCAGCCCTGTGTGCAAGGCACCAGATCCTGCCAAAATGTAGATCAGAAAGTACATGCCACCCTCACTCACTAAGATGTGTTTCTATCTAACGTCCTCCAATTACTAAATCAGAATGTACATTTCATACTGCATGGGGTCAGGCAGTACTGGAGCAGGGAGGTGATCGTCCCTCTCTACTCTGCACTGGTGAGGCTGCACCTCGAGTGCTGTGTTCAGTTTTGGGCCCCTGGCTACAAGAAAGACACTGAAGCCCTGGAGCACATTCAGAGAAGGGCAGTGATGCTGTGAAGGGTCTGGAGCACAAGTCTTATGGAGAGTGGCCATGGGACTGGGATTGTTCAGTCTGGAGAAGAGGAGGCTCAGGGCAGACTTCATCACTTTCTGCACTGACCTGAAAGGAAGCTGTGGCAAGGTGGTGGTTGGCCTCTTCTCCCAGGTAGCAGAAATAGGATGAGAGGTAACAGCCTTAAGTTTCTCCAGGTGAGTTTTAAGTTGGATATTAGAAAAAAATAATATTCTCTAAAAGAGTGGTGAAGGTACTGGAACAGGCTGCCCAGGGACATGGTGGAATCACCATCCCTAGAGGTGTTCAGGAAACACGTAGCTGTCACATTTAGGGCCATGGTTATTGGGCATGGTAGTGATGGGTTGGGGTTGGACTAGATGATCTTAGTGGTCTTGTCAAACCTTAATGATTCTCTGATTTTAAAAGAAGAAACTTATATATGTTTATCTAAATCAAAACCTGTGTCACATGAGCAGGTGTTGATTCCCTGTGTTTTGTACTTGTGAAGACACACATTTTCTGGTTTACAGCTGATTTGGTTCTTACCTGATCATGCATATTTTTAGAACTGCAGTAATTAGCTTTTGTGGAATTCAGAAAAAATCTTTTTAGCCCATCTGAATGCACCTCCACAAAAGTGGTTGAACTCAGAAATTAAGAATATTTTACAGTGTGTTTTACAGCATTTTACTTGCACTATTAAGATTTCAAATTAATGTTTTGCATTTCTGCATTCTTCCTCACAACTTCTTTTTGATTTTGTACACTCTGGGCTCTATTTGCCCTCATATTGTGCGAAACTTTGATGTCTGTGGCCAGCACCTTCTAGTTCTAGCTTTTGCAATTCTTGTAAGATCTTTTCAGTAGGTTTTCATGTTATTCACTCCTTACTGACCTTAGTGACCTTAGTCACTCCTCATGGACCTTTATCTTTCTGTGTATGATCTCCCTTCTGTACCTGGTTTAAGAAGTACGAAAGTTTCAGGAGTTTGCTTTTATATTTGAGTCCTACCATTTTTCTTCCTGTTGTCAGCCTAGAACTGGCAGTTCTCTCCTTGAATGACTTTCAATGCATCTTTATCTTGTAAAAAATGGATCCTCTTCCCTTTCCTCTGAAGTAGTCCTGAGCCTTTCCCTGTCTGTGGTAACACCATTTCCATCTTTCCTTTTTTCAAACCTGCAGCCTCCGAATGCTCTTCAGATTATATTTCCGCTGTCTAAAATGCATCAGCAGCCATGCTCATTTCCAGAATGACTCTCTGAAGTACAATGTCCTTTCCAGAGCCTGGATAATTCCCCTCTGAGCTGTCCTCCAGCGCTCTAGGCTTACTCACTGACTTAAACTTAATAGAAACCGCAGGTATGCAGCGAAGAACACTGCATATGTAATGAAGGTGAATTTAAGTCAAAATACATGAAGCATTTCCTTGCTTGATTGCGTTGTAACACATGGCTTACTTCTCCATGCTTATGAATGCTGTGTGATTTGGGTAGCATTTTAAAGTGAGATTTTGTTTGCTTCTCTGCTTTTCTTTGCTCCTGCACTGCAATGATGCCTGCAAGAACAGGGGAGGTAGGAGGAGTCATGAGAGCGCCTACAGAATTCTTTTTACTTTAGTGCACCCATCACTGGAGTGCTTTAACTTACGTATTAGTGCATGTGTGAAAGAGAGGAATAAAAGAGACAGAAGCAGGAAAGAAGCTGAAGCAGAGAAATCCTCTGTGTCATGGAAAAGCTGCTTCCTGCCAGCAAGTGACCTTGGACATCTCTGAGGTCCTGGCAAGCCTTCAAGGTTGACCAGAGCTGATGAAGAAGCACAGGGTATAGGCGATGGACATTTTTGCACCTCTGTGCTACATCTACATCTTGTGCTGGTTGAAATAAAAAGTGCATCGACTCCTTGGGGCTTTTTTTTTGTTTGTTTTATTTCTTTCTTGCTTTTTTAATTAAAAAATATTTTTAATAAAGACCCAGCATGCATTTACTGCAGAAGACCCATGTGAAAGGCAGTGCTGAAACTATTGGGCTGCTCACAGGAGGGGGCAGTACTGACCCTCTTTTGTGGAGTGATTAAACTTGATGGGAAGGCTTCCCAGGCTTCCCCCCAAGGCTTCACACAGACTGTGTGCCCTAAAAGTGTTGCAGATGTGCTGCAAGGAAGAACAAAGCGCTGGTACCTGCTTGGGCTGAGGGTGGTTTGAGCGCTTACTCACCACGGGTGTGCTTGGAGCTGGTGACTGAACCCTTTCAGGGTTATTGCACTGCTGCACGAGACTTTCTGCTTGGAAATAAAAATTTCAGCAAATACCTTTTGTGTCTCCAGTCTGGGATACCAGGATTGTCTATCAGACAAAAAGAAAGATTTCTTGGATGTCTACCACCATGTTAAAAGACTGCTGTTAAAAGATGCAGTGTTGATTCTCTGACATTTCTTGACAACGATATTTGGTCTAAAATCTGATTAAGGTAGACCAGCACTGAATAATGGTGAGATGTGTACATGATTGGTCTTGCATGACACTTGGTAAAGAACTGCCCGCACTTGCCATGGAATTCATGAATGCTGATAGCATCAGCTGTGCTGAAACTTGTTCATCCTCCTCCAACTCTGCATGTTGAGGCAATTGATTTTCTGAGGGCTACAAAATGTTGCGTTCATTTCTGCAACTTCATGATCACGAGACAGTACCATCTGTGGGTTTTCTGGCCAAAGACTGGTTTATAACTGCCATGACTAACCTGACTTAGTAGGAGGAGTTCTCTTCAGTCCTTCCTCTTCAGATGCAGGAATTCACGCAATGAGCCAGACAGTGTTGCTTTTTCTCATTGCTTCTGATCATCTGCTCTATCATTTCTCTGGTCTGAACAAACATCTTGCTAGACTGTGGAAGCTTGAGACTTCTTGCATGGGCCCAAGGAAATATCACTGACTAAAGCAAAGAGATATACAAGTACACTAGATGCCTATGGTGATAATGAAAACTTCATTAAAACACACTTTAAAGCTATGTATAGCAAAATGCTCTTTTGTTTATGTTCTTTTAAGGCGTTGCTTCTTACTGTGAATTTATAGTGCTATGGACCACTTTATGTGGTCTGGCTAGGCTATAAAACTTTGATCTTTCTGAGATGAATAAATTCAGCCTGTAACCATGACACAACGCTGAGCCACAACACAAAGAGGAGATTCTCTCTCTTTTCCCCCAGAAAAGGATAATTTTTTGTTGTTCCATTTGTACAGAAAAATGTTAAAGGCTTGCTCAACATGTAGAGGGGTATTTTTTGGTATGCTGAAGACTCAGAAGTGGCCCTGCCTGACACCTTGCAGCTCCCAGTCGCAGCGTATGGAAGATGGGATTTCAATGGAATCATGAAATCATGGGTAACAGTTGTGAATTAAATCATACTGAAGATAATTTCTTTAATCAGTGCCTGACCTGTTAGTGCACAGCCCAGTAATTGAATTCCTCGCTGTTAAAGAAGATTTATAGAAAGATACTTATATAAAAGAATGTGAGAGTTTTAGTTCAGAATTCGGGTGCCAAATATTATGTATCTAAATTAGAAGCATTCAGTGTTATTGAGCATCTGTTAATGCTTCTTGAGTCTATGGGATT